GGAACACAACAGTGCAAAAGTGACATGATGAAACTCAATGAATGGACTGAGTCTTATATAGCACTTTTCTACTCTCTCAGATTACTCAAAGTGCTCTATACAACATGCTCATTCACCCAATCACACAGTTTCTCTAAACTGAGCGCTTCCTAACTACATCCATATATATATATTCACACTCTTGACATGCAGACTGGAGGATCCAGGGATCAAACCACTAACCTTCTGATTATTAGGTGACCTGCTCTACCTCCTGAGCTACAGCCACCCAGTGGTATATGCGAGCAAACCCTCACTAGGTTTTGGATAAAGTGTACACTCACAAACCTGTCAAACCTGCATTTAAAACGCTGGTTACCACAGCAGTATAGAATTGCAACATGGCATTTGGGTCTTCTAACTAAAATAGGAAAATAGGAACATAAATAGTGCCATCATTGTCAGAACTGGCCCACATCTGGTTGACATACACCCTTCCATGATACCAGCCAGTCAGAAGTGCCAGCTTGATGCCAGATCTGGGGAAGACCAGTTTTCTATGAGCCTGGGCCACATAAACCAAACCATAAGCGGGCCAGATGGCATGCCATCACATAAACAGTGCCATCTGCGCCAGGCCTGGCCCATATCTGGATGACATACCACTTACCATGCCAGAAGTCAGCCAGCAGTGCGGGCTTGACACCAGATCCGGGCCAGACCTGTCTGCTATGTGGGGAGGTGACTGTTGTTGTGATTTGGAGCTGTATAAATAAAATTGAATTCATTGAACAAATACAAACAAAGCTTTTAAAAGATACCTTATATTTTTCACCTTGCACTGGGAAGTCACGATCAGTAGCCCTAACCACCACTTCCTCATGCACTTAAAATAGCCGCTTTAGATAACTTATTAACAGCATGCCATTCTCTCTGATGTCTTACCTCAGACAAATGTCCCTTGAGTCAACAGAAATGTGTTTATAGAAGATAAACAAAAGGACGATCAGGGTGTCTTTGACAAAGGCCAACCAGGGGATTTCACATAATAACAAATGAATTCCGTATGTGAATTACAGCTCCACCTGGTGGCTGTACACTAAAGTATCTCCCACCATCATATGGAGGGACCTTGTCAACTAGTTGTTTAGATTTGCATTGCAAACAAGTAAAAATGACTTTGCCGAAATTTTAATGATAAACTTTCTTAAATTGTTGGTGTACTGTTACATTTTATGTCAAATATTT